TGACGAGTTGTAGCTTGGTGCTCAGAATAGCAAGACTCACCGACGATGCAAGAGATACGTTTTGGAATGCATCAAATTCATAATCCGATGTTTGAAATTGTAATGAAAACTATAGCAGAGGACTACGGACCAGGTGCATTCAACTAAGTCTCCCTAGGAACATGACTAAAATGACTGATTGAGGAATGAATCATATTTATCTTTTTAGTTATAATAAGAAAGTCAATAAATATGTAACAATGTCAGTAAAATACTACTAAATTATGTGAATTTGAGCGACTCTATGAATAGTTAACTGAAAGATAATATTATGCTCATATAATAAGAAAATGTTTTCTCCTCTAGCCAAGCAGTATAAAGGATTTGTCTTCCACCAAATACCTCATTTGGAAGAAAAGAAGGAAAAGATGTTTAGCCATCTTATTTTTTTCTAAGTTGATGCTGATCTGAAGCTCAATGTTTCTATTATAAACTGGTAGAAGACCTCACTCTGCCACTAAATTTTAATTTGTTTAGCTTGCTAATACGCTTTATCATCTAGGCTGTACTGCATTTCTTAACTTACCTCGGTCTCAGCAGGCGAAACATAATTTGAAACTAGACTAAATCTTAACAGCAATGTCAGCAATTGTTTATAAAACATTTAGTCAAAATAGGTCATGGTAAAGAGTAGACTTCATGCATGCTGCGAGTTGATATAATGACGTCTTTTAGTGCTTAAATGAATCCTTCGTTTGAGACCTAGTTGGGACACAGATTCGACATCGGAGAAGAACAACTTTACCATACTCACAGTCATTTATGACAGATAATAGTGTATATATGCAAATGGACAAGATAGAAATGATAATGCATCCCAGCCCGAAACACCTCTAAATCGTGTTGATCTGGAGCAAAGTAAAATGTCGAGTAAATTTATGGTAGATTGGAGCACTTTTTCATCATCTCCATTTTTGGGGCTAATGTAGAGACTTATGAAGCTTTTACTTTGTGTGCATATTCGTAATCTGTCGCTATCTTCTTTGGGAGCAAGATTGGATAAGATAATTATTTATTTTGAATTTAGCAGTTTAGAATATCTTAAAAGTTAATTTTCAACGATATATAATACTCAAAGAGGAAATGTATCACTATAATGTGCAATTTGTATAAAAACCAAATAGATTTTAATCTAATTTAATCGGTAAATAGTTCCCACTGTTAAAATTACAATTTTTTGCATATTATCATCCCTATTACTTTATCTCTATTAGTGTTTTTACTTTAAAACTTATTCAGCTACTTTTTTATGCCCAGACTTATTTCATTATTGCTCCTTATATAATTTTGAAATAAATATGAAATAAGATTCGAATTGAATAATATAATTTATTCAGCAAATCCATTAAACAGATATCTGTACAAAACATATTTTGGTAAACAATATTCATTGGCGCGGTTTCAGGCTCTTGGATATGCCCTGGCCATCCTTTAACCTGATCATAGAATTTTTCATTCTGGAAGAGACGATGGATTTTTTGACGTTCAAAGCACACGCAAATATAATTACGCGTAATTATTGACCATATTTTAATTTCCCCAGCAAGTCTTTTATCAGTTTCTGTCGGTTATTATTTATTTGATTGCATTAGTTCGTCTGTATCGAATCCTTCTAAGTCCTCAGCGGTTATCCTCATTACAAGAGTGTCCTCACTCATTATCTGGGCATGATCTTTACCATTAGGCTTCTCACCGTTCTGTCCCAATACTTCGTTGCTGTGCATTTCAAGCAAAGAGTTCGGATCAATCTCTCTATTAATCCATTTTAGGTACTTTTTGCTTTTCTCTCCCGACTTCTTCGTATGTCGATCCAGTTTTTTCTTAAGGGCTAGATCCTTTATACGATGCTTAGAACTATCGTCTACTTGACTTAATCCTTGCTGTTCTACTTGCGTAGTGTCTTCTAGCAGCTCAATGTCTGTTAGGAAGAAGGTCTTAGGTTTAATTCCTGTAAGGGTATGAGCAAGAATGGGAAGCGGAACTTCTGTATCTTGTCTTCTGAAAAAAGCTGCTCTTCTTTTCAATTTGCCCTTCACTACTTTAGACTTGCCCAGACCCCCTTTATCATAAGGTCCGGCCACATGAGCACTACGTGTCTTGGTAAGGCCAGCAAATAAAGCCTGATCAAGCTGCCAGAGACATGTTAATTGAACTGGCAGAAGTGGTGGCCGAGAGCGTGCAGATCTTAAGTGATGATATGCAGCGGGCATTCGCCAGCGAAGTAGAAGCATCAACAAGGCAACTGCTAAGCATACTGCACCACCATTGCCACCTCCTAATACCATGATTCGATGAGATGGTCGATGTTGATCGTTTTCCTGTAGACCATTCTCTGATGACATTCGCTGAGGACATTGACCATTTGCCAAAAAGTTTGTAATTCTAGCAAGTTCCGATCGCATCCTTTCCAGGTCATTCGAGGCCCAGTCTGCTGGTACTAGCAAGCAGGGACAGCCGACTCGTGATTGATATACGTCGATCAGAGTTTCAACGTTGTCAACATCGGCGGGTGCATCTTTAGCCACCAAGAGGACACGATCAATAGAAAGACGACTCACAATATACTTTATGTGGCAGGACTGTAGCAAACGCGGCTCATAAAACTTGTCAGCATCGCGTTTGGCATTCTCTTTTTTCTCTATTTCCTCTGAATGCTCATCAAAAGTGTCCAATAGCCAGATCCTTCCACCTGCTAACTCAGTTGGTGGACGTAGCCACGCCATGCCATTAAAACTTCCTACAGATTTGCATAGCCAATGGGCCTGCTCTTCGATTTCTTCAGCTGTCTCATTTATTTCTAGCAAATGAAATTGCAGTCGGGATTTTGGTAGAATCTCATTTTTCGTATCTTCTTCTGCATTCTTAGAGTTTTTTTCCAACTCTTTATTATTTCCCTTTTCAATGATGGCATTGATGTCCATGATTACGCGGTTTCCGCCATTGTTGATTATGCAGGCCTTAGTTACTCTATGCCGTAGGATAAGCACACGTAGAGGCTCAAGTTCCATGCGTAGCTTTGTTTGCACCGTCCGCAGCCTAGACAATCTAGTATTGAATAAATTTGCAATTCCATCTGTATCAACTTTGCTGCCCTTGTCCGGGATGATGAAACGGACCGAGTGGGCCAGTGTAGGGTGTGTTTCCGCGCAAGTAGGACTGCAGATAAGATCAACAACAAGAGCTAAGTAATCAACCAAAGGGTCCGCCATGAGTTGTTTGAGTTGGGATAGTGTAATTCGCTTGTCCTCTGGCTGGATAACATCATGGTCATACATAACCTCATCGTATTCTATTGGAATTATTGGCCTAGACGAGGTGCATGGGTTATACGGGAACAAATCTTGCTCTGAGTTAGGAATTATCGGGTTCGGAGAATTTCGTCTTATCTTGCTGGAAGACAACCACCAGCATAACCCTAAATCAGCTTTCTTTCGCTTGCCTCTTTTTTGCTTAGTGGCCATTTCAGAATCGGATTCTCTTTGTGATGCTCCAGACTCGGAGGAATCCGAGATAATCCTGGTGATGCAGGTATTAAAGTTAGAATTAGAAGCTTCTGACAAAATGGGCTCTACACTGACTTTGAGTCCTCTCGAAAATAGGCTGTGTATACCGGGAAATCGTAAACTTTTCTTTGATTCACACAAGGCCTCGGAGGACGACTGGCTCTCAGCAGAAGTTACACCTACTAATAGATTTCAGGTGAACAAAAAAATTGATTAGGTCATTATTACCGCAATTATTAGAGCTGAGTAGCTATAGAGAATAACTATTTATATAAAGAATTCTACAGATACAATTTACTAATTTTAGAAGCTTTCTGGGATTTAATTCACAATAAAAGGAAGTCTTTGTAAAAGTTTAACAGGTTAAAGTTCACAGCAAGTACTATTTAGTCACGTTGATTAAAAACGGATTTTATTTTTTATAATATGAGATGTATTCACCCAATTTCGTTTAAGTTGATGAAGGACTGGTAGAAGAATTTTCCCACAATAATATGAGTTGAGCTGACGTTTCCATTGAATTTC